GCAGACGGGGGCTCCCTCGGCGTAGAGCTCCGTCGTCGCGCCCGAGAGGCTCCAAGAATGCGCTGAGCCACGACGGTCCTGGGCGTGCCACCGACGCGCGGCAAGGAGGTAGTCGGGGTTGTACCTGCGCAGGCGCGGTCGCGTGCCGGGGCCCGACTCGAGCCGCCGCCGTCGCGCGAGGCATTCCTCTGCATCGAACGCAGATGCAGTACGGACATAAACATATGGAGGGTCTTGCACATTAACTAATAGGGACGCACCTTCGACGCGCGCTGTGACGCGTCGCTCCTCCTGCCTCGCCTCCATGTCACGCGCGACGTCCACGGGGAGCACGGGCGGGTGTATGGCCGGCTCGGTGGGGGCGTAAACCATCGGCGGGTGAGCCATCATGGGCATGCTCACGTCCTGCGCCCCCTCCTTCCTGCCGGCGTGGCCACGGAGCGGGCCATGGCGCCCGTCGCCAGTCGCTTCGACGCGCATAGGAGCGACGGACGACGCGCGCGACTCGGCCTCCCAGTCTGCCTCCCATCCGGAGTCGTCCTCGTCCATCGTGCACGCGGCGGCCTTGCGTCGGAGGTGGGGTGGGAGCCTGACGAGGCGGGGTGGTGTGGCTGTGGCTGCGGGGTACGGACGATCGGGATCAGGGCGAGGAGTCGGCAAGCCCCCCCAGGCCAAGGGCGAGGACCTACTGCGCAAGCTGGACCCTCCTCCTGAGGCCGAGTTTCGTATGTGGACGTCGGCGTCCGCGCCGCAGCTAGAGTTGGGCATCGCTATTTATGTGGGCGCGGGCGTCCCTGAAGACAATGGCAGTCGTTGGACGCGCCGCGTAGCGAGGGCGACGGGAGGACCGAGCAGGAGGGGAGAGGGACGCGTCGACGTCTTTGGCCTGCGGACGCGGAAGCGCGCTCAGAGTCATGCTCGATGAATGGGATGGGTCTTCTTTCGCCTCGGTTATGTCTTCCTCGGCCCGAATCCCGGAACGCGCCAATCCTCAATATGTACGGTGGTTGTGGGGGGCATGGCGCACTCGTCGTGGCGTTCGCGAAGGCCACCCATGTGCATGATCTCCATGATGCGAGCCAAGCGTTGCGTAGCATGTGCATACGGATCCCGGAACAGAGCATATCGTTGCGGAAAGCCCTCAATCCACAGTGCTCAGTCACTCAGTAGGTAGACACGCTCAAGGGGACGGCACACTGATGATACAGGGATAGATATAAGTTGAGATGACTGTTCATGTGAGGGGACAAGAAGTCTCTGAGGTATTAAAGGCGCGTACCACCCCGCCACATCGACCATCTAGAGACGGAGCGCAGGAGCGACGTATGTAGCACTCCGCCGCCCGGAAATGGAAGGGGTCGGTACTGCATGGGGAACTGACGCTAGAAAAAAAAGAAAAAAGAGTCCGCCTTCGTTGACGCCTGCCCACAGCCACAAGTTGGACGTGCAGACCACAGCCTCTTTCCCTTCGAGCGCTCTACCAATCTCCCGCGGAACCCTGTCACCGGACGTGCCATACCCAACCGTGCACTCCTCGTCACCGACGCTCTCCGCCGTAAGTACGACGCGTCGGGTTTTGAGGCGAATGTGCAACTCCGGCGGAACCTCCACGATGAATCGCGTGCCCTTGACGACGTTGTTGCGGTAGCCTGCTCCGACGTAGAGCAAGCCCTTGTCATATCTGACGGGGAAAGTGCTTGCAGCTGCCGGTACCTCGTGCGTCGTGAACAGCAGTCGGTACTTGTTCCGCCCAATGCACAGCGGGGTCTGGCCCGCCATCCACTGCAGCGTCCCCGGGAACCGTAGATCTACGCCGTCCGGCTTCCGCAGTGCGTCCACGAGACGTGCGTACGTCAGGTCCTCCCCGTGCTTCATCCGCATGTACGCCAACAAGTGGAATGTGAACACACCGCGCGACATCCCGCCAATGATGTGCTCCTGCGCCGTCTGATGCGGTTGGCAGGCGGCGAGGAGAACGTGCGAGCGCGCCTCTGGACCTGAGAATCCGGTCTCGGGTTGCGCAACAGGGACCATCGTTGCAGCACGACCTGCATCTGGGTCTTGCCAGGCCCAGATGTGTTGATCGAGTGTCTCGGGGATGGGAGGCCGGGGAACTGAGCTTGTTGCTGGTAGGTGCCGTGTCTCACTGACGCTGTCGCCGGCAGGCCCGCCACGATGCATCCCTCCGGAATGGCAGGAATCGAAGATAGCCACCTGTAAAGCAGAGCCAATGAGTATGAACATTATCACAACGAAACATGGAGCATCAAATGAACGTACAATGTTGTCTCCCTTCGCGTGAGCCAGCCGGCGCATCAGGCCTCCAAATGTCCGGTCTGGGATGCCGATGGTTAGCTGATCTCTCTCGTCTGGCATGCCCTCGTCGTGCGCGCAGATCAGCTCGACCATATTCAGTCGACCATCGGCGCCCCAGCTCGAAGGCGCATCCATGCGATCGCCATGGCCTGCGTAGTAGACAACGATTGCGTCGCCCCGTTCGATGGCTGGGTTGTTAATAAGGTGGGAGAAGAAAGTGTCGATGATGTGTGTACGCGTCGCCCTCTCGTTCGTCAGCCGGACGATCTGGTTGTCAGGAACCCTCAAGGTGTTCGTGAGGTAATCGCAGAAGTCGTCGCTGTCGTTCACACATCCACGGAGATTTTTTATCTGGGGATGCTGATAGACGTCGATGGCGACGACAAGAGCCCAGATGCGAACTGGATCGCCATGCGGATTCTGGGCCGAACGTCGTGTTTCCTCTATCGCGCAGGCTCTAAGGTAATGTCAATATCAAGAGATTGGTATGACCGTATGAACCGCACCTGGGGATCTCATTGGCGAGGGTCCGTGTCCCCGAACGGACGGCCGACCCTTTCGCTCTACTGGATCAAGTATGATCAGGGATCTCGGCGAAGGGATGAAAACAAAGTAAAGTAGCGCACCTCCGCTTGGTGTAGGCTTCGAATAGTCGACGACGCTTCAAGCATTCTCTCACCCTTCACGGCGGTCAGCTCGTCCGGTTTGCATTGTCAGTCTACGACAGCTCACCTAAGGTTCTTGCCGCCCCGCCGAGCAATGTGAGTCGTCCACGATGACTTCATTCCGTACGAAAAGCACGTTCGGCGGCGGATGTGCAAACCGAATTGGAGACGTACCAACAATATGTAGAGCGGGGGGAAGCTTGGGTACCCTGCATCCTGGGGACACCCGTGCGATACTAGGAAACTGTGCAGACCGGTGCAAGAGACGATGCTTGACTTCATGGAGACAAAACTGCAGCGATCGGGGACAGCACCCTTGCCGTATATACTAGAGAGCGCATCAGAACCTGATAGGAAAGGAAGTCGAAAGATAAGACCGGCGCACTACGCACGGGTCACCGCCTCCTCATCCTTTTCTTCTCTCTCCTTCCATCAAGTCTCTACCTTACTAGTACACCACGCCTGTCCAAGCCGGGAGCGCGCGACCGTTGAGGAACCTGGCGTATGAGGTCCCGTCGGTCAGGCCCCTCCCGCGCGCCTTGCGTCGCGCCCTGCTCTCCCATATATACCAAGTATCCTGTCGGAAAGTCGGGAAGACGGGACATATCGGGGAACTCTCGGAGCGGACATATGTCGAACCTACGAACCCTGCAAGGTCGGGCGCGGCGATGGGCTGGATGTTGGAGTGCGCCGGAGGAGGCGGAAACGGTCCGTGGATGGGACGGGAATGAGAGGGTGCGTACGCGGAGGAGGATCTGTACGCGATTGGCGGTGTTGATCGCGGGATGGTCGTCAGCCGCAGGATTGGTCTAATGCAGGACCTCAGTGCAGAGGCTCGCGATGAAAAGGATGCGAGCACGCACCATGAGTTTCCACAATCATGGACCCACTCGATCTGATTCGTCGATCGCCATCAGCACGGCTGCAAGCACCATGTATGAGCTGTTTCAGTTCGTCGACCTCCCGATACACTCAGAGATCGTTCTTGAGATACGAGTTCCGGGTGCCAGTGCTAGTCGACTGAGTGCCGGCGAGTAGTACAATCACTGTGCGGTATACAGCCGTCAAGAAGCGTGCGGGCGACGGCGACGGCGACGCATCGTGGGCCGCACTTGATACCGATAGCCTTGCATAGCCAAAACACACTGGCGAGGCACGATGCACAAGATCGGGGAGACGACCAAGAGACGACTGATGCCGCCGTACGCGTCATCTATGAAATGTCGCTGTGCTTGAACTGTGCGGAAGGCACGTACCTGCGATACGCAGCAATTATCCACAGAGTGGATCACGAGTCGCCGATCCTTCGGCCTTCTCTTCGCGCACACACTCCTAGCAACAAGGGATGCGCCTGATACGGCCGCTGCGCCCCCATTCTTATGACCCTTGTGTGAAAGCCCTTCCGTCGATCAGCATCTTCGCGCCATGCCTTGTTCGCTGAGAGCCGGAGGCATGGTTGTAATGCGTTGATTATAAGACCCTGAAGAGCAGTCAGTTCTGGTCACACATGACGGTTTATCGAGCAGATAGGGACTCCCAATAAGTACAGAAGACGGGGCACAGCGCACAGACTGACTATAGCAGTCAAAAGCCTGGGCAAGTACAAGCAAACCCGGGTTGTCACCTTTAGCTGCGCGCAGGGAGGTGTAAAGGAGTAGGCACGACGACGCACGAATCCGCTGGCAGCAATACGCTGAGCGCGCAGAAGTTCACTGCACCTTTGAGCTTTAACCGCCGCGTATGAGCAAGCCGAAGGCCATTTAGGTCACGCGCCCAGAAACCCCGTCAGCGTAATTTCGCATCGAGTGAGTAGATGGGTTCTTGTTCATAAATAATACCTATTTCGGGTGGACCATCTGCAAAAAACCAGCGCGAGCCTGATAGAGACGCATCACGTAGGTCCAGATGATCCACACGAGTGTCATCAAGGATCATCTGACCGTCTTCACTTTGACCACGGACTCGCGACGTCATCCTGACGCGGTCTTTGTCGGGCTCTACATCGGTTCCGCGCTCATTGAGGATTGCAATGACAATGAATGGACGAATGAGACGATAGATATGTTACATATGGGAGACACACAAGCCGCAGAGAAATAACAATGGGTTCGAGTTGCCCGAACGACGGTCACCGCCTGGCGCAAGACTTAAAAGTTAGACACTCGACAACATATCACAATCAGAGGCACGCACATTCGTGAGAACTTGGCAGCGTTGGTGCAGACTACAGCGTCTTTCCCATTCAGCGCTCTACCGATCTCCGGTGGCACTCTATCGTACGCGCCACACTGAACGGTGCAATGAGCATCACCGACGCTTTCCGCGGTGAGCACGAGTGGTTGCAGTTTGAGACGGTCCTGCAACTCAGCCGGAACCTCCACGATGAACAACGTGCCTTTGGCAATGTTGTTGCAGTAGCCTGCTCCGACGAAGAGGAGCCCATAATCATATCTGATCGGGAAGGTGCTCGCAGCTTCCATTTCCTCGACCGCGGTGAACAAGCGTCGGTGCTTGTTGTGTCCCAGGCACACCGGAGTCTGCAAGTGCCACACCATCACTGGGAGTGGTGCTCCGGGGCCCCAGAGCCCGAGATGGTCCTGTTTCCGCAGCGCGTTCACGAGACGCGCGTACGTAAGGCCCTCCCTGAGCCTCATCCGCATGTGCGTGAGCAAGAGGTACGTGAACACCCCGCGTGGCTTGCCGAGAATGATATGCTCCTGCGCCATTTGATCCGGCGCGCAGGCTGCGAGAAGGACATGTGAACGCGCCTCCAATGTCGAGAATCCGGAGTCGGGCTGCACGACAGGGACCACCGCTACACCACGGCCTGCGTCCGGGTCCTGCCAGGCCCAGATTTCCTGATCAAGGTCTTCAGGGATCGGAAAGTGGGGTATTGAGCTTTCTGCAGACAAATATCGCGTCCTACCGGCACTGGCAGGTCCACGATGCATGCCTCCTGAATGGCAGCAGTCGAACACAGCCACCTGCAAAGTATGGCCGAACGACCCTCCTGTCACTACAGGGTAGATCAAAGAACTATTGAGCAGACGTACGATATTGTCGCCTTTCTCATGAGCCAACCGACGCATCAGCCCACCAAATGTCCGGGAAGGGATACCAACGATGGGCCTGCCTGCATGGTCTTGCATGCCCTCGTCATGCGGACAGATCAACTCCACCATCGTGGGATATCCTGAGGCACGAAGGTGAAGGAATTAGTCTACATCTGCCTGGGGAGACTACCATCGTGCCGAGCTGACCTGTCGTGTTCCAACCGGCAGGAGCTATCCTGCGGTCGCCATGGCCTGCATAATAGAATACGATCGTGTCGCCGCGCTCGATAGCGAAGTTGTTAATGAGATGTCTGAAGAACACATCGAGAATGCGGGTGCGCGTCGCCTCCTCGTCGTTGAGTCGGATAATGTTGCTGGAAGGGACATTCAAGGTGTTGGTGAGGAAGTCGTAGAAATCGCTGCTGTCGTTGACGGCGCCGCGGAGGGCGTTAATCCCTCTGTGGGCATAGACGTTGACAGCAACAAGGACGGCCCAAATCACAGGGGAGGAAGCGGGGGCGACGACGCGTAGTCTCGGTTCCATTGTGGCTGCACCCGCGGAGGCTGCCGGTCGGAGAGCGAAAAACCCATCTGAAAGTTATTAGGACTCCGAGGGAGCACTCGAAGGTCCCCGGCGACTCCCCTAAGGGTACGAACGGATATTGGGTAGCAGAGCCAAAATCGACCCAAACCCTTGTCCGGTATTGGGTAGCGAAGCGTGGATAGGCAACGAATTTGGGTGAACCCTTGTCCGCAGATTGGGTAGCTGTGGCCGGCCCATCAGGAAAACCCTCTTTTGGGAATAACAACGAATGTCGTAGTATTACAGCGAACAATGAGTAATTGTAACCATTCTTTTGTTCGCTGTAGTAGTGGTTTATTCGCTATGGTCCGGAGGTCGACTCACGAATAACAGGATATTGTGCCGAATGCAGTCGTGTTAGCAGCAGGGTTCCTCACTATTATATGGATCATTGTGTTCATTCTTAGTGTTCGCAGCACATTCTGCACAGACGCATAGGTACGAGAAAACATGAGATTCATTATAATGTACCGACAGCGATCCAATACGATACAAACACAGGCAACGCGACTCATTGGTAGAGCTACTCGTGATATATACTACTCGTAATCAATCCCTATTGTACTCGTACCCGCATGTATACAGGCCCACCAGTGACCAGAGCGGGTAAGACTTTTGCGCGGGTGTGGACTAGCGAGCGCGCGAGCAGATGCGCGAGCAAGAGTACGAGCGAGACCGTGTGCGAGCGAGAGGGCGTGCGTGTGCGAGCGAGAGGGTGCACAGGCGAGAGGGTGAGCAGACGAGAGATTGCACGGGCGAGAGGTTGCGCAAGCGAGAGGTTGCGCGGGTGAGATGATGCAGGGGCATGTGAGAGTAGCGAGAGCAGGTGATCAGGCGAGAGCCAGGGGGGTGAGCCAGAGAATCGACAAGCCACCGAGTGAGCAGGTGAAATCAGAGATGGGCGAGCGCACGGGCAGGCGAGAGGGTGAGTGTATGAGAAATCGAGCCATTGAGACGACGCTAGCGGTCGAGAGTGAGGTCGAGAGGACGCGCGAGAGCAAGACAGGGAGGGGACGAGAAGTCGAGAGTGAGCATGTAAGAGGGCGGAAGGCTGAAAGCACGAGTACTATGCAGGCAAGGCAAGGCAGGCGAGAAAAAGGCCCCATTGGCAGAGTAGGGCGGAGAGTGTCGGATGCGAGAGGAGTGTGCAAGAGGGGCGACTCTGACCAGTGACCAGACAGGCGGGGGCGTGACAGATGGCTGGCAGGCAGGCGAGCATGCAAGAAAGCAGATGGGTGGACGAGCTTGTTGGTAACACGCTTGTAGGTAGGCGAGAGAGAGCAACTGACCGCCAGGTCGACGCGCAAGTGCGTTGCGGCTTGTGAGCGAACGAGAAGGGTAGTAAGTACAACGACCATACCGTCGAGCCTTCCCACACTCTTCCTAGGTGCTCATACCTGTGTTTCTTCGCCTTCCTCTCATGCTACCCTTGCCTCTTCGTTCCACTCTTGTCGCGCTCGGCGCAATCCTGTCGCTCAGAACCGGTCCGTCATGCGCGGTGAGTGAGTTCGAGCCCACATAATCATGCTGCGGCTTACCAGAGCCACGCAAGCGCTGCGTTCGAATCGAAAGACACGGGGAGAGACGGAGAATGGGGAGGGACTTGGGAGGGACAGAGAATCGGCAGAGAATGGCTTGTACATGTCGTGAGAAGTGCTAAGCGCCTCAGCCACGACACGTCACGCGCGCTCGCCGGACTTCGAGTCTCGCACAGTCTCTCACAGTCCGCCTTCAACGTCAGACCGACTCGCAGTCGGTGTCAACGCTTGACGTGCTCACGGACCACCTCCCCACGACGCTAGGACTCGGAGAAGGCAGAGCAACGAGGGCGAATCAAATGTTCAAGACCGCGCCTGAAAATCCCGGTGAAAGCCACCGGTACGATACTTACATTCCGAAACAGCGTTGTTGACCTTGATCTATCGTGCACACGCCCGGAACCCCAACGAGGCTCCCCGTCCCAGATTCCAGCCCCGATGCCGGCGTTCACGAATTAGAGGATGCGCTGCAGCTAAGTCCTACGCGCGACCTGTCATATCCATCTGGTCACGGTCTTGATTAGGGATCCACCGGGGTCGTCGGGACCGCGAGGAAGTGCTGCGGGTGCTCTGGCGTGCGGAGCACCTCAGTCCCCATGTGGATCCGATGTTCCGGTCCAGTGTGCCTGCTAGCGCGTCCCATGGTAAGATCTACCCCTAGGCACCACCGCCGGGCTTGCCGCTCGCGATCTTGGAGGACCTGAAGACGCTTGAGAAGGAGCTGACAAGCAGTCTTCGGACTTTTCGGCTGGGGAGCGATCGATCTGCATGCAAGGCCCGCCAGCGTTCTCCCGAGTTGACGGACTTTGGCACAGAGGCTCTACAGACCAAATACGGTGTTTTGCTGTGAGTAGTGCACGACGTCGTAATGCTTAATCATACGTTTCGCCGCAGTTGAAACTGCCTCGTCGAGCGCAGGGCGCTGGCATACTCAGCAAGCCACAGAAGGGTCGATCCTCTGACAAGATTGCGGCGTTCGCCAAGTCGTGTTGAACCAATACCTGCGAGCCCGATCTTCCTCTGCGCGACCTTGAAGTTGACTTCGTTATCGAGTTCAGTGCTAGCATACACGGGTATATGGGTCAATAGACGCGTATGGCCCCCCCAGGCTCTCTATATGCGGATCAGCCGCCAGCGAAGCACCTGCAGACCCGCAAGTCGGACATCCTCTCCCCTGTGCTATTTCGAGTTGAGCATATGCAAGTCGAAGGGAGCCTTCAACCTGACAAGGACACTTGGGCATACTCCCAGACGGCCCACATATGTGCCTTCAAGGCAATCATCATGTCGTCTTGGCTGGGATCGCGAGCTCGCCACGCCATCCTGGCACGGCATTGTCAGGCTCTACGCGTCCGCGCACATTCAATGCCGAATCTGTGTCGGAAGCCGGACGAGTTTCGAACAGTGAGGACATCTTGTAAACGAGAGGTTTAGTACAGGAAGATAGCAAATTCAGAACACAACCCGTAAATAAGGGTAACAACACGTCCGAACAGCCCAATCGACGATCATCATCGGGAGTCAGGCTCTGAAGATCCGAAGGTTAGACTTGACAGCATGCCGCAATCCGCCATGGAAGTGAAGGTGCGCACATTCGAGGCGGCCCGAATCGGACGATATCACTTACTCAGTGCAGACCGTGGCGCCTTTCCCAATCAGAGCTCCACCCACATCACGGGGCACCCTCTCGTACGTGTCACACTGAAAGACACACCCCTTGACGCCGAAAGTGTCCGCGGTGAGCTTGAGGTGTTCCAGCCCGATGAGTTCGGGGCGGCTCTGCAACTCCGGCGGAATCTCCACGGTGAAGTGAATGCCCTGGACGATGTTGTCGCCGTCCTTTGCTCTGATGAAGAGGAACCCACCCTCCGGGTCATACCTGATGGGGAAGGTCCTTGCAACCCTAGGCACCTTGTCCATCTCGGTCACGGTGCTCCATAGCCGTCGGTATCTGAGTGGTCCCGAACACTCTGGAGTCTGGCTGTGCACGGGCCGCTGGGGCATCACCGGTAGGTTCGGTCCTCGGAACGCCTCCTCGAGATCGGCGTACGTGAAGTCAGGGCGTTCTTCGTTCATGCGCAAGAACTTGACTAAGTTGTATGTGAACCATCCGTGCGGCACGCCGTCGATGATAAACTCATGCGCTGTCTGATTCCTCCCGCAGGCCGCAATGAGGACATGCGTGTCCAAGTATTCGGACTCGGACTCGGAATCGGAACCGGCGTCGGCTTCAGCACCGTCATCGTCATCAATATTGAGAACAACAGGGACCATCGCTGCGGCCCGACCTGCAATCGGGACCTGCCCCAAGATGTACTGGTCGAGGTCCTCGGGAATCGAGAGGTGGGGCACTGCAGAGCAGAACCTAATGGCATCGGCAGGTGTGCCACCGTGCATGCCTCCAGGATGGTAACAGTCGAAGATGGCCAGCTACGACGTGAGGTTGAACCCTTCCCGTCATTACGGAAGACCAAAATCATAACAAGCGGACGCACTATATTATCGCCTTTCACATGAGCCAGCTGGCGCATCAGCGCTCCAAACGTCCTGGACGGTATGCCGAAAATGGTCTTGCCTTCCTGGTCTTGCATGCCCTGATCATGCGGACAGATCAGCTCCGCCATAGTGCTGAACTGACCTCCCGCATTCCAGCTGGCAGGCGCATTCTTGCAATCGCCGTGGCCGGCGTAGAAGAACACAATCATGTCACCGCGCTCGATGGCGGGATTGTGAATGAGGTGGCTGAGAAATTCACCGAGGATCCGGGTGCGCGTCGCCTCCTTGTCATTTAGCCTGACGACGTGGCCGGAGGGAACATCCAAGGTGTTCGTGAGGAACTGATGAAAATCATCGCTATCGTCGGCAGCGCCGCGGAGAGTGACAGCCTCTGGATGGGCGTAGTCGTCGATGCCCACAACGATCGCCCAGACATGCTTGTGGCGGATCGGGTTGTCATCGCGGGCATCAGCCTTCTGCCCTGCCGCGAAGGACGAACCCGAATCGAACACTGGCAGCTCCATATCGTCCGGCTTGTGCAATGCGTCCACAACACGCTCGTAGGTGAGACTCTCCCTTTTCTTCTCACGCATATGCATGAGCCAGAGGTCTATAAACGCCCCACGTGAGTTGTCGATAATGTCATGCCCCTGCGCCGTCTGTTGCGGTGGGCAGGCTGCCAGAAGGACATGCGAGTGTGCCGCAGGATCTGAGAACGCAAACTGTGCGATGGGAATCATCGGCGCACCACGGCCTGCGTCCGGGTCTTGCCAAGCCCAGAGATGTTGATCGAGTGTCTCGGGGATAGCGATTTGAGGCTCGGGCACCCAGCTTACTGCTGGGAGGGGCCGCGTTCCAAGGCTCGTGCTCATAGTACTCGCAGGCCCGTTACTATGCACGCCTCCAGAATCGCAGCAATCGAAGGCCGCCACCTGTAGAGTAAGGTCGAGTCACTATATACGACGCAAATCAGAGCCGTATCGAGTGAACGTACGATGTTGTCTCCTTTCTCGTGAACCAACCGGCGCATCAGCCCCCCAAACGTCCGGTCTGGAATGCCGATGATTGGCTGACCCCCCTCGTCTGGATTTCCGCCGTCGTGCGGATGGAACAGTTCGACAGTATCGGGCTGACCATCATCACTCCAGCTCGAAGGCACGTTCCTGTGACTGCCATGGCCGGTGTAGTAGAATACAATCGCATCGCCCGGTCTGATGGCTCGATTGTCGATGAGGTGTGAGAAGAAAGTATCGATTATCTGTGTACGCGTCGCCCGCTCGGCCTTGAGCTGAACAATCTGGCTGCAGGGGACCATCAGGAAAATACCTCCCTGGGAATTATACCGAACAAACGGATATTCTCCATAATATGTAGACTGTTAGGATTCTTGACGCCATTCATGATAACACTCCGTATTATTGACCATTGTATGCGACGTTCGAGTGCGGTCAATAATATGATACTAATACGAGTGGTACAATTGTAATTTTCCGTGCAGAGGTGACTCATTCGCGAAGATGTGGTGAAAAGAGAATATATTGGTGCGTCTCCTATTAGTATCCGATTCTGCATACTATAGTACACATGACCCGAAGATCACTTCAGATATATTCAGTGATCGACGTTCATCAACCAAAACAGACTTCAGATCGACAAGACGGTGATAGGCGTGTAGGGGGGCACGACGGTGCGCGTTGTTCTAGATGCAAAACACGAGCCAGTGCACATTGATCGAGTCCTCCACCACGTATGCGTAGTCATCGATGACAGCCACTCCTCAGTCGTCCACGAACCCACGGATAAGTAAGCAGGTCTGCGGGCAATTCGGTGCGTGTACAAATGAGCGATCATATGAATGACTGAATGACGGCTAACCGAGCAGACGAGAGCACGGGCAGGAGAGCACATGATGATGCGAGACGAGACCCTGAGCAAGACGGGGTGCGAGCGTGTTAGTGTCGCGCGAGACGGTGTAGGTCCACGAGCGGGTGTGCAGGGCAAGAAGCCGAGAGAAAGTGGGCATGGAAAGCAAGCACAGGAGGGCAGGCACCTGGGCGGGCGGTCGATCGATCGAGCTCGCAAGAAAGCAAGCGTGAGCAGACGAGAACACCTCGGTGGGCGGGCAAGAACGGGCGAGCGGACGAGCGGTGATGAGCCAAGGGCAGGCCGGCGAGACTCGGAAGCCGAGAGTGGGCTGGCGAGTGGGCGAACGAGTGCGCAATGACAAACGAACGAGCGAGAAGGGCGGGGCGAGCGAGCAAGATCGAGGGGTGCACCACCGGGGGCCAGAGAGGGTGTCTGCTCGCTGTTAAGCAGTCGCAGACTTACACGGTGTTACTGTCCGGTGTGCCCGTATCGAAGTGCGCCTAGCTTGCGAGAGGATGGTACGTGCGAGAGGATGGCCGCGAGCTTGTTGCTCGTCAATGCACTTGCTCGAGCATTGCGACTAGCAACAGATACTTAGTAGATACATTAAGAACGACTCACTTCGGGTTTCTTGCCACCGCTTTCCTTCCCTTTCGTTCATCACTCCTGCCCGTCATCTGTTTTGCTGGCCCTCTTCCTGTGACCGTGCTCGCTTCTTGTGCTCAGACTTGCCGCCTTGCGTCACGGCTCGGGTTTGTCGCATTCGGAGTGTGGGACGGCGTGAGTGCCTCGCGCATGGTGGTGGTTGTCCGAACGCAGACCGCCCGGCGCTTTCGCGCGAGCGGCGGGTATGGTTGTATCGCGGCGGGACTGTACTTAGTAACTCGTGAGACAGGACAGTTTGGAGACGGGCAATGATTAAGGGGCACAGACAGGCGACATAGGTGACGGGCGACAGCTTCAGACAAGCGGGTGACAGAGAGTCAGACGTGCCAGACAGCGCCACAAGTGGGAGCGCTGCTTGCCCTAAACAATATCTCGATCGAATCTGACCGCCGCCACAGCGCCACGTCAGTCTCACTCTGAGCCTCTCTCGCCCGTCTCGCCCGCCGCCGCCCCCCGCTGTCTCACTCGTTCACCCGCCCTCTCTTGCTTGCTCGCCCGCGTGCCCTCCCACTAACCCTCTCGCTCGCTCACATGTCCTCATTCTGGCTCGCTGCCCTCTCGTTCGCCCACCTACTCGCCCTACTGCTAATTTTTCCCGGTTACCATGGCCAAATAGGTACATTGACGAGCAATTAACGGTGCCTACTGCAGTGCCTGCATCCTGCTTCTGCAATCTGTGTGTTGAATGCCTGAGTGTCCATATATCTGGCTTGCGCACTCTCTCACAGTGTCTCGCCCCTAGCTCACTCTCGCACCCGCCGACCCGTTCTCACTGAGGGCACACGCATCCAGCGACCGCGCAGCCGAAAGAGTTCGAGTGCGAGGCTCAAGGGCCCTATCTGCAATACAAAGGTGAGCCATCACCAACACGATCTCCCTGCTGCTATCTATGAATGTGCCGAGGCCCGCTGAACCATGTCCTATCTGTCCGGCGTTCTGCTCCGCCAACTGTTTTCCTTGCGCCATTTCGCTCGCCCACCATCTTGTCATCCCTCTTGCCCGCCGTCTCGCACCCGCCGACTTGCCGTCTCGCACCCGCCGACTTGCCGTCTCGTGCCTGCCCATTTGCTTTCTTGCGCCCGCCCACTGTCTTCTCACGCTCGCCCACTGTCTTCTCGCGCCCGTCCACTGTCTTCTCGCGCCCGCCTGCTTGCACTTTCGTGTCCACCCATTGGCCCTCTCGCGTCCACACGCCCGCTCTATTGTGTCCGCGTGTTCACATGTTCTTGCGCGTGTCCTCCGCGCTCGCTTCCACAACTGTTCGCTCTCGGCGTTTTGACTGCGCACCTGTGATTGTGCACCTGCCTGCCGCATCATGACAAACATCGATCCGTGTGCGTACCTCCTCGCCGTCTATGACAGCCAGCTAACATACGTTCACATGGAGAACTATTGCCCCTGTCACCCGCAACCTACGCGCCCATGCTCGTGGACACACCATCTCGCTCTACACCCACACACCCGACTCCGTCTTGCCCACAGTCTGTCTCGCATGCCCCCTCCTGCCCATGCTCTCGTCCGCTCGGCCGGCTGGCCACCTGCCTATTTGTGTGATCACCCACACGATTGGTCACTCGTCCACGCGCCGACTTGCCTGCGGACCCGCTTAGTGACCCGTCGACCCGCAGACCCACCGACACTGTCACTCTAGTCGTATTTTACTGCCATGCTCGTCATCTATCTCCCTCCCTAGTACCTGTCTTCGTGGCCTCGGACCTCTCATAATACATCGCAGACTCGTAGTAGTATATTACATGCACGGCAATGCATTTATGTTTTTTCTAATGACTTTGTGTGAACGAACATCAGAGTGAATGTGCATTGAATGTCCCGAGAACGGCACAGAAGCCATGACTTATTGCGTAAACATGCCACAGAAACTCACGAGAACATTGTAATTACTCGAGTATTACTGAGTATTCGTACACGGACCCATGGGGACCACGGAATATGGTCTGTTATTATATTAGGAAGATTAATGCTGTTTATCTTCTATTCCTACAAAATTGCCTCTATTCTTCCGCATTCAGGAGAAGGTTTTTTCCTGATGACCCCCAAGGTATTCGTCAAGAAGTCGTACAGGTTGTCGCTGTCGTTCGTACAGCCATCATGGAGACCCTTGATCTGTGAATGCTGATCAACGTCGACGGCGACGAGGTAGGCCCAAATGCGAGCTCGATCGTCATGCGATTCCTGTTCTGCACGTCCGACTTGTGCATGTGCGACGTCATATGCCCTAGCACAACGTCAACATCAGGACATCGAGGTGACTATGTGGAGATCACCTCGCTATCTCGTTCGTGAGGGCCCAAGTCCTCGAAGCGGCTGTCGACACTTCCACTGTACTGGATGGCGCGTGATTGGCAGTGTATTAGACAACGGAGAAGAAGAGCGGCTCACCTCCAGTTAGCATTGGCATCCAAAAGTCGACGACGCCTCGAGCATTCTTGCACCCTTACCAGCAGTCAGGTCGTCCAGTTCGTCTTCACAGCCTATGTATATAAACGCTCACCTGTGATCGGTCCACCCGATTCGAGCACTGGGAGTCGTCCAAGAAGACTCCATTTCGCGCAGAGCTGAAGTTGTCTGGTAGCGGTTGGGGTAACCAGTATGTGGGGCGAGTCCCAGCACTCATCCTTATCCTCCATCAAGAAGCGCCGATGATATTTGGAAGCTTTGCTCAGCTGGGCATAAGGCCTGAGGCAGTGTATTAATGCTTCTGGACCGTACGTGAGAGCGTGTCGCGCTTCACAGGCGCTGCTTCTGCGAAGTCCGTCCGCATGCCTATCATCAGTTCGGAACGGAAGATGTCCGATCCTGTGTGCCCATGTTGACAACTTCTGTGGTACCTTGTGCTCCGTAAGGCTATGTTCTTCAAAACCAGGATAGATAAGGAGAACGGCTTACAGATCTGAGAGACATGGTGTCCGGGTCTAGTGAGAGCAGAGTGCTCTCCGACGAGGACTTACGAGGGCAGTGATCATCCGCCAGTGGTCCCGGTCAGCCACTGTGATCGCTCAGGTGTAAGGAGCGAGGTGATTGCGTCGGAAGCTCGAGGTTTTTTAGTAGCGAAGGAGCGCACGGCGCAGCGGATCCGGAGTCTCGCTCTTGACACCCAGCGACTCGGCGGGTACCTTCAGCGGCTTGTACATACCGAAGCTTCTGGCCGCGTCCCAGATGACGAGCAGTTTGGGTCTACGCAAGATGCGGACTGTGTAGTGAAGGCAGACGGGCGTTCGACAATGCGAAGGGTCGAAGGCATATGGGTCCTGGTCCCACCTCTTTCAACCTCGTGCCCGATATACACGCCCGGATATTTGGCGGCCATGGCACAACTTGGCGGCAGAAGGCTGGGGACTCGGAGAGGCTTTCGTTGGGATGCCTCTCCCCCAGACGTCTTCTAACACATCCTTTTAAGAACAGGGCGGATATGAGCAGCGTGCACGCCATTCATCAGAGCTGCAACGTCGAACCTGTCATATTATCCTGCGCCAAGCTTCCTCCGCATCTTCCGCATTTAAATGGGATTAATATTGAATCACTAATGTATTTTAGATCAACTTAAACCCCATACACTTTTAACCTGATCCTGTGCTAAGCTGTTGCTTAGCCAATAGATTAGCCAAGTAGGATCAGTAGAGCTAATCCACACATGTTAAGCCATAGATTAGCCATAGTTAGTCCATATCTAATCCCATTGTGATCCATTGGTTAGACTTGCTGAGATGCTGCTTAGCCATTGGATTACCCATGGCTAAGTAATATCTGATCCATGTCTTAACCATAGATTAGCCATGCTTAGCTATGACTTAGGCAAGAGATTGACAAGTAAATCAGGCTAAACAAAGTTGGTAGACTTTCAATCTTATCCACTGCTAAGCCACTGCTTAGCTAGCTACTGGATTAGCTTTGCGAAGATCACCAATTGCTGATCATGGTTCGCTTAACTGGAGATAAGACAGTGCTTAGCCACTTGCTAAGCTGTGTCTAATCCACTGAGTTAGATAGTGGCTTCAATGGCCCAAAAATGCGGACACAAGCCTGGTTTGAACTCCTGACCCTGGACACTACTACATAATCACATGATCTAGTTACTTACCTGACACACTTACCACTGCACCACTGGGCCTTTCTACACTACAAAACTGAATGACCTGTATTACATTCTCAGACTACTGGACTTAGGCATTTCACAACACTCTGCCATAGGATGCCCCCCTAGTCCGACTTTTTGTGGATCAGCACATACTTTATTCTGGTTAATCTGCAGATTGACATTGGATTAGCTTAATCTTTCAGATTCAGCCACTTTCCATATCAAACAAATTATATTGATCCTTCATTGATCCACTCCTGATCAGTTTTGCTGATCTAATCCAATTCAATCCTAATCTGATCAGTTCATAAAACCACTTCTGAGCAAACCTGCTAATCAGACAAGATTAACCAGAATAAAGTATGTGCTAATCCACAAAAAGTTGGACTAGGGGGCATCCTATGGCAGAGTGTTGTGAAATGCCTAAGTCCAGTAGTCTGAGAATGTAATACGGGTCATTCAGTTTTGTAGTGTAGAAAGGCCCAGTGGTGCAGTGGTAAGTGTGTCAGGTAAGTAACTAGATCATGTGATTATGTAGTAGTGTCCAGGGTCAGGAGTTCAAACCAGGCTTGTGTCCGCATTTTTGGGCCATTGAAGCCACTATCTAACTCAGTGGATTAGACACAGCTTAGCAAGTGGCTAAGCACTGTCTTATCTCCAGTTAAGCGAACCATGATCAGCAATTGGTGATCTTCGCAAAGCTAATCCAGTAGCTAGCTAAGCAGTGGCTTAGCAGTGGATAAGATTGAAAGTCTACCAACTTTGTTTAGCCTGATTTACTTGTCAATCTCTTGCCTAAGTCATAGCTAAGCATGGCTAATCTATGGTTAAGACATGGATCAGATATTACTTAGCCATGGGTAATCCAATGGCTAAGCAGCATCTCAGCAAGTCTAACCAATGGATCACAATGGGATTAGATATGGACTAACTATGGCTAATCTATGGCTTAACATGTGTGGATTAGCTCTACTGATCCTACTTGGCTAATCTATTGGCTAAGCAACAGCTTAGCACAGGATCAGGTTAAAAGTGTATGGGGTTTAAGTTGATCTAAAATACATTAGTGATTCAATATTAATCCCATTTAAATGACATCACTGTCCTCCGACACTCCGAGCCCGAAGAGCTCGGCCTGGATACATTCTGTGAATTAGCGAGTTTTGGAAGCTCCTTGCGGTCTTCAGCTTCAAGCTTCAGGCTTGGTGCGCGTCTCGCCTCTGATGCAGGCGCATGAACAGGCCAACCACCCACTTTGAGCGCCCGTAATCCCGGGCCGCAGTGTGAGGAACGTGAAAACGTTGTTAATCCTGACATTGATTGAGGACTAGCATACACGGGTATACTTATGGGTCGATAGATACGTATGGCCCGCCCAAGCTCTGTACGCGGATCAGTCGCCAGCGAAGCATCTGCAGACTTACAAGATAACCGACTCTGAAGGTCTCCTGCCGGGCAGCGAGCGCGCCTCCGTGCAAAAGATACTGATGAGGTCCTGTCGGTCGAACGGCAAGCCCGCGTGCTGATGCCGCATGACAGGCATGACGACCTCCTCCACGAGGGCCCACGCGCCGAGCATAGCGCGCTGGAGGTGCGCGAGGGTGGCGCGGTGCTCCGCGAGGCGGGCATAGACCGTCTCCCAGTCGGCGGGGCTGCACGACCCAGGGGCCGGGTTGGGTCGGGCGCAGCGGGGATAGAAGGGAGATGGCAGCGAGGGCAGAGAGCGAGTCGGCGGGCAAGGAAGGGGTGCACTCGGGCTCGGCCAAAGTTGTAGCGTGGGCGAGGGAAGGGTGAGAGTCGATTGTGCGGAGGCAATAGCAGACGGGTACGCCCTCGGCTTCGAGCTCCGTCGTTGCGCCAGAGAGGGCCCACGGACGCGTCGAGCCACGGCTATCTTGGGTGGGCCATCGACGCGCAGCGAGGAGGTAGTCGGGTTGTACCTGCGCAGGCGGGGTCGCGCACCCGGACCGGGTTCGAGGAGCCGCCGCCGTTGCGCGATGCATTCCTCTGCACCGAACGCGGATGTACGGTACGGACATAAGCATATGGAGAGTCTTGAACGGACTGATAGGGACGCACCTTCGACGCACGCCGTGACACGTCCGAGTCGCTCCTCGTTCCGAGCCTCCATCTCATGCGCGACGTCCACGGGCAGCACGGGTGCATCATCGGCATGCTCACGTCCTGCGCCCCCTCCTTCCTGCCATGGCCACGGAGTGGACCATGTAGCGCCCGTCGCCAGTCGCTTCGACGCGCATAGGAGCGACGGACGACGCGCGCGACTCGGCCTCCCAGTCTGCCTCCCATCCGGAGTCGTCGTCCTCCATCGTGCGCGTGGCGGCCTTGCGTCGGAGGCGGGGCGGGAGCCTGACGAGGCGGGGTCGTGTGGCTGTGGCTGCGGGGGACGCTGCGGGGTACAGACGATCGGGATCAGTGGGGTTCAATCAGGGCGGGGCATCGGCAAACACGCTCCAAGCCATGGGCGAGGTGGACCTACTGCGCAAGCTGGATCCTCCTCCTGGGGCTGGTCGTCGTATGCGGACGTCTGCGTTCGCGGGGAAGCTAGCGTTGGGCATCGAGTTGGGTGCTATTTATGTGGGCGTGGGACAGACAATGGAGGTCGTTGGACGCGCGTAGCGAGGGCGACGGGGAGGAGGGAGCAGGAGGGAATGGTGGAGGGGGATAGGACCGAGGAGACGCGTCTTTGGCCTGCGGACGCGGAAGCGCGCCCAGAGTCATGCTCGATGAATCGGCTTGAATTGCCAGTGGATGGGACCGTCTTCTCTCACGTAAGTTAACCGCATCGCCTTTGTCTTCCTCGGCCCGAATCCCGGAACTTGCCCATTCTCGATGCCGTCGTTTCATGAGAGGGCATGACGCGCACTCGTCCTGGCATACGAGAAGGCCACCCATGATACAGGCCAAGTGTTGCGTAGTACGTATGTACATACAGATCCGAGGACATACCGCGGGCAGCGTGCACATGTGGGAACGGCAGGCATACAAATGCATTGATGATCCAGGGTGATACAACTACTCATTTGCGGCGACAAGCCAGACGTACCACGCCGCCAAAATTTGGAAAGTTCGGCCATCAAGAGACGGAGCGCAGGAGCGATGTAGCACTCCGTAAATGGAAGGCATCGATCGATCGGACCGAATAACTTCCCGTCAAGTCAAAATCTAATAAAAAAAGGCGCGCGCTCGTTGACGCCTGCCCATAGCCACAAGTTGGACGTGCAGACCACAGCCTCTTTCCCTTCGAGCGCTCTACCAATCTCCCGTGGCACTCTGTCACCGCACGTGCCATACCCAACCGTGCACTCATCGTCACCGACACTCTCCGCCGTAAGTACGACGTGTCGCATTGGAAGATGACCCTGCAACTCCGGTGGAACCTCCACGATGAACCGCATGCCCTTGACGATCTTGTTGCGGTAGCCTGCTCCGACGTAGAGCAAGCCCTTGTCATATCTGACGGGGGACGTGTTTGCAGCTTCAGGTACTTCGTCCGTCGTGAACAGTAGTCGGTGCTTGTTCCGCCCAATGCACAGCGGAGTCTGACCCGCCATCCACTGGAGTGTCCCCGAGCCCCATACATCCACGCCGTCCGGCTTTCGCAGTGCGTCCACGAGCTGCGCGTACGTGAGGTCCTCTCCGTGCTTCATCCTCATATACGCCAACAAGTGGTATGTGAACACCCCGCGCGGCATCCCGCCAATGGTGTGCTCCTGCGCCGTCTCATGCGACTGGCAGGCCGCCAGGAGAACGTGCGAGCGCGCCTCTGGGTCTGAGAATCCGGTCTCAGGTTGCGCAACAGGGACCATTGCCGCGCCACGGCCAGCGTCCGGGTCTTGCCAGGCCCAGATGTATTGATCGAGTGTCTCGGGGATAGGAGGGCGGGGAAGCTGGCTTCCTGTTGGGAGGTGCCGCGTCTCGCTCGTCACGCTCGCTGGTCCGCTGCGATGCATCCCTCCTGAATGGCAGCAGTCGAAGATGGCTACCTGTAGATACAAGCCAATGAGTATTCACGTCACTACTGCGCAAAGCAGGACGGTGCTGAGTGAACGTACAACGTTGTCTCCTTTCTCGTGAGCCAGCCGGCGCATCACGCCCCCGAACGTCCGGTCCGGGATGCCAATCGTGGGCCGCCCTCCCTCGTCTGGCATTCCCTCGTCGTGCGGGCAGATCAACTCGACCATACCGAGAGCACCAGCGGTGCTCCAACTAAC